GGACCAGGACAGGTACTGCTGGTGGGCATGGGGTGGAGAGAAACCCACCAGGGTCAGTTCTTAGACACCTGGAGCCAATAAGCTCTGGCCCCACTGTCAATCGCGCGTGGGCCCAGGCCTGGCACTGAGCCTGACTTCAGTCCCATCCTCCCCGCGGAAGGACCAGAATTCTCGGAACACATCTGCGCTGACAAAGGGCTGGCGGGCCCCCCACACTCTCTCAGGGGTGTTGTGGGCATCACCGCCACCGGCGTGTGGAGCAGGGACCATGACCCCATCGCCGACGAGAGAGCCAGCCGGAGAGACGTAATTGAAGGGTCGCGAGGACGGCGGCTGAGGGACCGTGCTAATTGCAGCGTGCCATCCGCCAGGCAGTCCTGCCAAGCCGAGCCTCCACGGGATGCTTTGGACTCGTCCCTGATTAATTATTTTTGGAAATAGCAGCCAACAGCAGAGCTTGCTAACAGGCTTAAAATAATAAATTGGGGAAACACCGAGAGGTTTACATCGGTTTGGCTAAGCGCCCACTGTGCTCACTGTGGGGGGTGCCTCCTCCTCGATGTGCGTGCTCACCCCACGGAATCACGGCTCTCCACGTCAGCAGCCGTGACCGCCCAGGGGACATGCCTGCAAGGGCAGCAGCCCGACCAGAGGCGGGGCTTCCGAGGCGGCCATGGGGAGTCATCCTGGTGAATTGTTAAACCTGGTGTTCAGCAGAGAGCTGGTCTGAGGTCGGCCTTGATGGAAGGAATGCAGCATATGTGCATGTGTGTGTGCACACATGTCCATGTGTGTGTATGTGTGTCAGTGTGTGTTCGTGTGTGCATGCATATGTGTCTGTATGTGTGCATGTGTGTGCACACGTGTGTCCATGTGTGTGCCGTGTGTCCCTGTGTGTGCATGCATGCTGTGAAATTGGGGAGACATTCCCTAACTCTTCCAGTGTGAGAAGGGGGCTGTGCTCCTTGGGCTGCAAGGGACCCAGTGGGAGGCCTGGGGGTGGAGCCCCCGTGGCGGGTGGTGTGCAGACTGAGGGTGCCCCCTGTCGGCACCACCCCGTGCTTTGGTCAGGCTGGGCCCCACGGGCACAGTGTTACTGTGAGCCCCTCGCTGCACGTTCCTAAGGCCGGGAGAGGTGCCTGGCACCTCGGGCTCAGAGGGGCGTCTCGGGCCTGTGGTCCGGCGCTCTGTGCACTTGCACAAGCACGTGCGTGCCGCTACGTGCAGGATGCGTTTCCAATGTCTTTTCTAGCAGCGGCTGGAAGCTGACAGCGGAGACGGCTAATGCTGAGCCCGGAGTTCCTTCTGGCTTCCAGCAAGGGGCTCCCCGTTTAGAAAATTCTGCACCTTTTACGCCTAAGGTGCACATGTCTCTCTCTCTCCTCTCTCTCTCTCCCTCTCTCTCTCTCTCTCTCTCTCTCCCCCTCCCCCTCTCCCTCTCTCTCTCTCTCTCCATTTCTATCTATCATCTTCCTTCCTCTCTCTCTAAAACCAACAAAAGCACATCTCCAGGTGAGGAGAACAAAGTGTGGCCGTGCCAGCGTGGCCACGAGGAGCTCGCATCCTTCACAGGAGTTCACTTGTGGGGACACACTAGCCGCAGCCTTTGCTCCCGGGTTGTTTAAATGGAATGTGCTGGAAGCCCCGGTGCCCTTCCCACAGGAGCCCCGGAGCTGACACGCCGGAGGGAGAGGGATTGTGCGGCGATGCTATTTTTACCTCCCAGCCCTCTGAAATGTTAATGTGTATTATGACATTTTTCATTGCAGGGGAGAGGAAACAATTCCTGGATTAAAAAAATAATAAAACACAAAGGAAGAGGCTGCATCCGCCTGCGCCCGGCTGTGGCTGTTCGGTGCCTGCTGCCCGCCCACGGGGTCTCCGATGAGGCGCCTCTCCGCCCCGGGTCCCGGCGCGGGGACTTCCTGGCTCACCGTGCGGCTCCGGGGTGAGTTACGGGGCCCGGGAGACACGGAGTCGCTTCCCAGCTGCTCGGAGGCAGGACAGGATGTGGCAGTCAGCCACTCACCACCCCGGAGCAGGGACAGGTGGCGAGCGGCTTCCCGGGCAGATGGCTCTGCCTCCTCGCTGGGCGGGGTGGGAATGACTCCGGGTGGCCGCCACTCCCCCACATCCCCCCTTTTCCGCTGGAACGCTCAGGAAACGGTGGGCAGAGGGTTAGAAAGAGCCCCGTCGTCTGAACCGAGGCTCGCCCCAGAACGTCATCTCCTTCCGCAGGCGGTGCCCGCCTGTCCCCGGGCCAGGCCACTGTGGTCACTCAGACGCAGGCCTGGCCCCAGCGGACCAGTGAGCAGAGCGTCAGCCTGCAGACTGAAGGGCCCTGGGTTCCATGCCAGTCAAAGGCTCTGGTTGGGATGCGTGCAAGGGTCAACCAGTCTAAGGTAACCAGATGTCCCGCTTTTGGCGGGACAGTCCCGATTTTTAACAATTTGTCCTGCATCCCGCGGCATTTTAAAAAAGTCCCTATTTTTGGCCAAAAATCGGGACTTTTTAAAAAAAAAAATGCCAGGGGACAGTCCTGATTTTTAACAATTTGTCCCGCGTCCCCTTTAAACCAGTCGATGTGTCTCTCTCACATCGATGTTTCTCTCTGCCTCTCCCCCTCCCTTCTACTCTCCCTTACCATCAATGGGAAAATGTTCTCGGCGAGGATTAACAACAACATAAACACCAGAGACGGGGACAGGGGGCCGTGCTCTGACAAACCCTCCCTCGCTCTGTCTTCCTCCCCTCGGGAAACTGCACCCCCTTACACACTAGGAGGTACACAGGGTGTCAGATACGTTCCCCCCGAAAAGTGTTTGTGCTTGCACCCCAAGTCCTAAGGCGTAAGGGAATGGTCAGAAACGAGGAAGGCTGCGTCGCTGAGACCTGCTTGAGGAGAAGGGGGAGGAGGCACCTGCTGCCACCATCCAGCACAGGCCAGCTCCCCCCTCACAGCCCACACCTGCAGGTAACCCCGCTGTGCCCACCTCCTGCTCCATCCCCTCAGATTCAGGGGCAGACCTTTAAACACAGGAAAGTTGTCCTTAGGAAGCGCCAATGATGGATCTGAACCAAAATCTTGACATGTCTGTAAATTATGTCCCACGGAAGAGATTATCTCTGTGGTTTACTCATTTCCCCATCATACGCCTAATGCATGCTCAGTAACATGCCGAAATAGAAGTAAGATTCTGTTCTTGAGAGCACGATGTTCTGCTGACCAGCTAACTTATCAGCCTGGCAGAGAACTATGGAAGCCAGGGGCCTGTGCTGAGAAGGCCGCACTAGAGTTATCAGAAACGAGGTGAGCAAAGCAGAAGCACCCCCACACTGAAGACAGCAAGGCTGTTTCTCTTTCTTCCTAGGACTCATACACGTAACAATCTAGTGATATTCGTTATTACTGAGAACCAAGCAACTAATGATAGTGGTACTAGAATTAGTATTCTAGCCCAACCAGCATGGCTCAGTGGTTGAGCGTCGACATATGAACTAGGAGGTCATGATATGATTCCCAGTCAGGGCACATGCCTGGGCTGTGAGCTCGATCCCCAGTAGGAGGCATGCAGAAGGCAGCCAATCCACGATTCTCTCTCATCATTGATGTTTCTACCTCTCTCTCTCCTTCTCCCTTCCTCTCTGAAATCAATACAAATATATTAAAAATAAATAAATAAATAAAAAGAATTCTAGCCATAACCGGTTTGGCTCAGTGGATAGAGCATCGGCCTGTGGATTCAAGGGTCCCGGGTTCAATTCCAGTCAAGATCATGTACCTTGGTTGCGGGCATATCCCCAGTAGGGATGTGCAGGAGGCAGCTGATTGATGTTTCTCTCTCATCGATGTTTCTAACTATCTCTCTCTCTCTCCCTCCCTCTCTGTAAAAAATCAGTAAAATATATACATATATTTTTAAAAAAGAATTCTAACACTATCTTCAGGGTACAGTCAATATTAGAACTCCGCAGAATTTCTGCTTCAGTCTTCTCAAAGCGCATAAAAAGCTAAAATAAAGAGCACTTCCTGCCTGCCGGGACTTGGCTCTCCGCGAGGGGAAAAAAAAAAAAAAAAAAAAAAGCGCACCTGCCCAGGAGACTTGGTACTTAGTAAATGTCATCCCAAATCAGCGTGGCTTTCACTACGTGTAAGAACGGGACCTGACCATGCGCTCACAAGGACGGCATGGACACATGATGGAGTGGTCAGAATTCTCAGACGCCCGTGTACACTGGGAACACGTGTGGACAGCGGAGTCGCCACCAGTCAGGACCGGGCCTCCCTCTCCCCTCCTATGCCCCCGCAGGCATCAGGCACCGGGCACCAGGCAAGACCGGAGGATGTCTGCCACCTGAGCCCTGAGGATTTTTCAGAAGCACACTCCCACAGCACCCAGATCAACACTCTTGACACCATCCCGGCCCATCCTGCACGCCCACAGGCCTCGGGGGCTCCCACAGAGGTCCTGCCTGTGTGTGGGACCCAGCCCTGCGCTCCAAACAGGCCCAGCGGCAAGGCCAGCTGGTCGCCCAGGCGGCTGAGTGCTCCATCCGCACCCACAGCGCACGCCTTCCTGTCGTGCTGGCTGAGACGCTTGCCTACCTCCCAGCACGCTGCCTTGCTTCCCTTCGTGTTTGGGTGAGAAAATCTCCAGCTTCTCAGTGCCTGCCCTCTCCCCTATGCATCCCCTCCCCTAACGGGTTAGCAAGGCAAGTGGCATTTCGCAGACAGACACTGGGAACTGGCTTTATGGCAGAAAAGGCCCCGCATGACTGAACAAAGCCTGCTGAGTGGACCGCGTCCCTTTGTGCGGATGGATGATGAGCAAACCCGTATACCTCCTGCCCCGTGCCCCTGAGGCCAACCTGGCTGCCCCACAGCTCAGGGACTCAGGGAGCTGGCACCTGCGGGCTGGCTGGTCCCTCCCCTCCCCCCTTCCCCCTCGCTGTGGATTCTGGAACTGACTGGAGGCTCAGAGAGCCGTACTCTCGCTTACCAGGGAAGGGGACGGTCCGCAGGGGTATTTTGATGGGCGCCAGCGTCAGGAAGCGGCAGGGCTGCACGCCGGAGGGGGCCGGGCCCCCGAGGCCCTCGGTGTCCACGGAGACCATGGCTGCGGCCGTGGTGGCGATGGCGATGGCGGGGCTGCTGCCCACGGGCTTAAGGCTGTTGTGGCAACCACCTGCGGGAGAGGGACAGGCGGTCAGCAGGGGACACCAGGGGCCGGGAAGACAGACGCCATTTCATGATGCAACACAGGAGCACAGCCAACAAGAGCGGGGCCAGCCCTCTTTCCTGGAAGCGGACACCGTGTGCCTCTGTCCCAGAGGGAACGTGACGAGGTCCCCGCGGTGCAGGCGACGAGCACACAGCTCCGCGAGGGCCAGCAGCCTCCACACGGACCTTCAGCAGCTCCTCAGAGGAGGGGCCAACTTTTTTAAACTTAAACTTCTTCCAACGCCACGTCTTCAAAACAGACTCACCCAAGGCTATGGTATTTTGTGGAAGAGCCACACTCCAGGGGCCAAAGAGCCGCATGTGGCTCGAGAGCCGCAGCTTGCCAACTATGACCCTAGCCAGCCCATCATACTGGGTGCTGTCCACTATACACATCCGTGACGCGCACAGAGGCGTGCCTGTCAGCCGATGCCGGGAGGTTGTGACCGCCCCGTTCAAACGCTTCTGCTTCCATCCGCCTCGCCCTCCGGCTCCCCAGGTGTTTTCCCGGGGACTCACCCGCCTGATGCCCAGCTCAGGGACAGGCCTGCCGCTGTGGCCCAGGGGTAAGCACCAAACCCGTGCATGGACTTCACTTCCTGTTCGCACAGGGGTTTGCCATGAAGGATAAAGTCGCCTGTGCTAAAGGACGGATGCTAAGGCGCAAGCTGTTTTGTCAATGGGAGTGTGGGGACATCTCTATTCCCGGGGGACGATGTTGTTGTCAAAAAATGATGTGTCAACTGAAAAGGAAAATGAGGGAGCAAACGGATCTGCCTGTTTAAAAACAAACACGTGGAAAGCCAGTGTGGGGCCTGTTTTGCATTCATTTGGTTACGAACCAGCTCCAATGAGTTCCCGGAATCCACTGACTATTATCAGTGCAGACAGGAAGTCAATAACCCATAGCGACAAGATGCTTTCCCGAATTGGGTGGGGGGTGAGCTGGGAGGAGGCCTGGGCCTCGGCCAGGAGCGAGGAGCGCTGACGTGAGCACAGGGCCCTGGGCGGGCACAGAGTCTGGCTCCCACCGCCAGCACAGGGCCCTGAGCGGGCAGCGGAGTGCAGCTGGGAGGCAGGTGCTGAGAATGCCCGCTGCGGGGGTGCAAGATGAAGCGGGCGGGGAAGGGGGGAGGGGAGGGGCCTGGTGTTCTCCTGCACCCCTGCCAGGGTCCGGCATCTCCGAGCACCTCCGCTCACCGGTCTGCAAGGCTCGGGCGGAAAGACGATGCCGTAGGAAGTGCGATGCACACAGACACACGAGCCAGATACACGAGCTGCCACGGAGCCAGCCAGGCGGTGCGCGGAGCCAAGGGCATCCTGGGATGCCAGCTGCTTCCCCTCCCCCCCAGCCCCTGGCCTGGCCCCCACCGGAGCCTGGAGCCTCCTGAGCTGACTCGTGGAAGAGGAGTGGGCACTCAATAAATTGTGCCCCAGGATAAATAATTAGCATAACTCGCTTCCCCAAAGGGCCTCGGAGAATCCCTGAGCTGAGTAAATAACAGGGAGATAAGAGAGGTCCAGCCGAAGGAAAAATAAGAAAACTGCTAAGCCAGCTGAGAGATACGCCGGAGATGCTATCCCGTAAGGATTACTTATAAAAAATCAATGTTTTAAGCAAAACAGTGATTAACCCTGTGCTTCCCTCGGCGGTGGCCCGGGGAGGCGAGCTGGCCGGCGGCGGCCGGAGCCAAGCTCCGCGCTGGGCCCGCGCTGCCCTCTTATCATCACCATCACCGCCCGGGCTACCCTCGCCAAGAGCTGTGTGGGCACATTCTGTCCTGGGGAACCTGCTGGTAGCCATCCACACCTGTCTGCTGCCAAAGACAGCCATCCGGGGAGGTCTAGGACGCTGGGTCTGACCCCAGGCCCTCTGCAGGCCGGCCCCGCCCCTCTGAGACACCCGGGCCACCCGGGCATCTGGAGGACTCTCCTTGGCACCCACCTGGGCCCTCTGCCCAGGCCCTCTGCCAGCGGCTGGCACGCTCCCTTACTGAAACCTCCACTGGCCTCGGCAACACGGAGGGGGCAGGAGTGGGGGCGGGGGCAGGCGGGCTCCTATAAGACCTCAGGCAGAGAGGGGTCACATGACTTTTGAATTCACCGAACGGGCACTGAGTACATTTCTTCGAAATGCTTACTTAAGCTCCTGATTGAGCGGTTTCTCTAACGTACACCCGCAGATACACGGTTGAGAGCCCCACAGACACACTCAGCGTCTCCTGCTACCCTGTCCCACCCAGGAGTGATGGCCACGTGTGGCTACTGGGCCCTGAACTGCGACTCACGGCCTGGGATGTGTGACACGCGCTGGGTTTCAGGAACAAAGCCAAAGAAAGGGAAAATGTCTCTTTGATAAGTTTATGTTGGTGACACGGTGAAGTGATATGTTCTGGATATTGGGCTAACTAAAATAAAGGACTGAAATGAATTTCACCTGTTCTGTGATGTCTCTTTAAAAATATATATTTTTATTGATTTCAGAGAGGAAGAAAGAGAGAGAGAGAGAAAGAGAGAAACATCAATGATGAGAAACACTGATCAGCTGCCTCCTGTATGCCCCACCTTGGGATTCAAGCCCGCAACCCGGGCCTGTGCCCAGACCGGGAATCAAACCATGACCTCCTGGTTCATAGGTCAACGCTCAACCACTGAGCCACGGCGGCCTGGCTTGCTGTACCTTTTGAAATATGAGTGCCAGAAAATTTTAAATTCCACGTGTAGTTCACATCGTATTTCTGCTAGAGAGTGCTGCTTTAAGGTAGGCACCAACATCTGGAAACTTCCAATAAGAGGAAAGCGAGGCGATAGCCCTTATTTCCCAAGTCCACGTTTATGGAATTCTGACACCTTCTTCTGTCATTCCCTCGGCCCCATCTCGGCTCCAGTGTAAAGAATCTGAACCACATCTGAGACTTAGAACTGTCATCTTGCATCGAATTGATTCATTACTTTGTGGAATGTCACCCATAAATCCAAAGGGGAAAAAAAGATTGCCAGACATAAATTCCTCATTTTTAAAAATGATATAAGTTGTGTTGGTAAACACAGCCCGCGCTTAAGTTTTTCATTATCCAGGCAGCCTCTCAATTTTAGTTGATGCCTGAATAATTTACCACGGGGTCTGGAGACACAACCAATTTTCATCCAAATGGCTCCTTGAAGTACGCGTGATACAGACAAAACAGAAAGCAGTCACAGGGGGAGCTGCTCTCCCCGTTCCTTCGGGGAGGGTAGATGCCTCCCTCCGGTCTGGAGCAGTGCCTCAGGGGAATTACCTGTGAGAGCAGGTGGGTACCGCCAGCACAGAAGATGCCATTCACATGATGCATTCAGGTGCCCATAGCTAACACACAGCTGGCGAGTGGCAGGACTGTTTTGAACCCCGGGCAGACTGGCATCGTCTGTGCTGTGCTGTCCCTTCTCTCAAAGCAGAATGTTAGGCCTCTCGCTAGGGAAGGCTGAGTAAGCGTTTTCCACGTGCCAGTGTTTCATGGCTTCCCCAGGTGGCCCCATGTTGGGCGCCTCTGGAACTGGAGCTAAGCGGGAACATGCCCACAGACCACAGGGCAGAGCCCGGCCCGCACCCACACGCCTGAGAGGCCCCTCGGGCCTCCGGGCAGCTCTGAGCCTCACACACATCGCATCTTCTGCTCAGATCGCTGCTTTTCCATCGCAGAGAAGCAGCGTGTCTCCCCCAATGCGCTAAGCCATGTTGGGGCTCCCAAAGCCTACTCTGTGCAGCTCTGACTCCAGACCTCCAAGTACCAGGTGCCCCGTGTGAGGGCGACGTCACAAGATGGCATCCGGGGAGCTGGTTGGTTCCGGACCAGGACTGCCCGGCTTCGGCGACACTTGACCTCTGACCCTCACCGCATCACCAGCGCCCGGACACACGGTCTCCAGTGGGGACAGACGGATGCATTCCGGATGGCGCTCTGTGGGGACGCTCACTGTGCGGGAAGCTGGTGCTGCCACCTCTGCTGGAACCCAAGGATCCACAGGGCATGTTTGCAAGGATGCAGGGAGAGACCTCTCCGCTGGGCTCTCTGGACGCCTGGTCCTCCAAGGACCCTGCCCTCGATCTGACGAGTGGTTAAAGATACACCTGTGTCGCCCGCACCAGGCGGCGCCCTTTGGGACCAGTGGGCCCGCTCCACCATTTCCTCTGTAGCTGTCTGGAGTGGACGAGCCCCAGCAGCAGATAACAGTCTCATGTTCAATGGCGTGAGGACGAGAGAGGCACTGGCATGTGTCTTATGGCTTTTGTCTGACTCTAAAAGCAATGCGTGTACATTAAAACTGGAAAATGAGCCCTCGCCAGTTTGGCTCAGTGGATAGAGTGTCGGCCCTCAGACTGAAGGGACCCAGATTCCATTCTGGTCATGGGCACTTACCTCGGTTGCGGGCCTGATCCCCAGCCTCGGTTGGGGCACCTGCAGGAGGCAGCCGATCGATGTGTCTCTCTCACATTGATGTTTCTCTCTGTGGGTGTCTCTCCCCCTGCCTTCCACTCTCTCTAAAAGTCGATGGGAAAATGTCCTCTGAGTGAGGATTCACAACAAAAAAGGAAATAAGAGATATTATAGAGCTGGATATAAAAGTACCCCTCACCCCAGCCTACAGCAACAGAAATAGCCACTATTAACATCTTGATGTGTCTCCTTCAGTCTGTCGTCAGTGTGCACATGAGTGTGAGCGTGTGTCCAGTGCTCCAAGAATTCAGGTCATCTGGTTCAAGTGGTTTGTCCCCTGCTTTTAAAAATTTACTAAAATATAATAAAAGCATTTGCTTTTGTCTAAACAATCTTCCAAACGTGATGTTATTAAAAGTGGGAGGTATTTTAAATAGTGATGTTTCACAATTCGCTTGACACTTATCTAGTCAAGGACATTTGAGATTTAATTTTCCTCTTGGGATTGTAAATTGTCACAGGCTCTTTCTGTAACCGGCCGTATACATGA